TGAAATCCATTTTACAGTAAGGGAAACAAAGCTAAAGAGGATACATAATTCTCTGAGTTTTATGCTTTTTGAAGCCTCAGGGCAAAGGTCTTTTCTTTTTTTTTTTCCAGTTTATGGCCGGGGCTGAGTTTGAACTCACCACCTCTGGCGTTTGGGGCTGGCGCTCTACTCCTTTGAGCCACAGGTGCTGCCCAAAGCTCTCTTTAAGAGGATATGAAGAAGTTATTAGAAATGATGCATGACCTAATTTACCATACAGTTCCAGATGTCCTTTTAAAAATGCTAAGTTTTTAGCTATCAGTATAATTAATTTTAAGTTTTTGGCTTCTCTCATGTGCATAGATGACTGTTAAAACTACATAATGTTCCTTTTTACCTTACAAATGACTGCTATGTTTATTTTCTGCAGTTGACCTGAAGGAATGCTTTAAATCTGCAAATCTCATTCGTTCAAGTGACCCTGATTTTCAAATTTTAGAAGATGGTTCAGTCTACACAACAAAGGCAATTCTTTTGTCTTCGGAGAAGAGAAGTTTTACCATTTTGCTTTCCAACACAGAGAACCAAGAAGAGAAGAAGATTTTTGTCCTTTTAGAGCATCAAACAAAGGTATACAAGACGGTACCAATGAAGTATAGTGATGTCTTTTCATCAGGCGCCCAAACATTGCCAGGGAAGACGAGGAATCAGAAAGGATTTGGTATTGTCTGCCTTGAAGAAGAATGTAAACCATGAGATGACGTAACAGTGTTCAAAAGGAAAAAACAGGGTTGTGCAACATCCGTTCCTACAGGCTGTCATTCCTTCTCACTCGGACGTAAAAGGAGAGCTCAGGATAAACGACAGCATGAGAATTTGAGATTCAAAAAACAAGAAGCAGATCTTGATCTTTACTGTAGAGTAGATTTCCAAAAAGAAGTTTTTGAACTCTTTATCTCTTTTAAGAAAAAGCAAAACTTTTTTCTTAGCGTAATTGGTAGTCTTAGGAAATAGAGGACAATGTTAAGAGGAGGTCTGAACTACACGTAGCGTGCTTGTGTTGTGACACCCAAGGTCAAATTTTATTCAACCATGGGCCATTCCTCAGTGCAGTAGTTTGAGAGTTGTCACCATGTTTTTCTCCTTGTTCTGACACAGATCTCTGTTGGTCCCCTGGCTCTGCCTAGTTGCCGGTGAGTGAAAGATGATTGTGCTAAATTTAGAAGGGCACATACTCATTTCCTTGGCATAGCTCTCCCCCCATGTTTTTGCATGGCAATGTGGCAACAGTAATTTTTTTTTTTTTTTTCAGTTTTGCTTCTAGGCTTCCAATGCCATCTCTCTTTCTTCCATTTTTCCATCAATTCATTTTCTCAAGAGGATTGCTGTGATAAAAGTTAGGGCAGTTATTTCTTCATGGTCATTTTGCAATGTTGAACGTTTGGTTTGGTTTTCAAAGCACTACTGAGGTCTGATGCCTCCCTGGCTAGTCCTCATGAGAGGAGAAAGATGCATCAGAGTTCTAATGTTTGAGGACAAAGTAGTCATTGACTTTATTTTTTTTTTTCTGTCTTCTAAATTGAGGTCCTAAAGAAAAGGCATTCTAAAGAAAAAGTGCTAAGACGCGCCAAGAGAAGATGGGCTCCCATTCCTTGTTCCATGCTAGAGAATTCCTTGGGTCCTTTCCCGCTTTTTCTTCAACAGGTACAATTTACTTTCTTTCTGCTGTGGATTCCATCTCTTAAAACTTTTGACACTGATCAGGCAGTTAATTAAAATTAGTTGTGAGTGAATATGTGCACCGAGTGAGTATACTTCAATGGATGAGTATGTCGATAAGCATAGCTCCTTACGTTTGCATACATTTTTTTTGAAGTTTTAGTCATGAAAAGGCCATTATAAAACTGTAAAATCCAGCTGCTATTCTCAAACACACGGTTCCTTAATGAATTTCCAAATCAGCCAGGGTATCACAGAGCTTAGGCGTAGCCCAGGAAACTCCAAAATACGTTCTATCATAAAGAATAAAATTGTCAATAAAAGGCCAAGTGCCTTGAAGGTGAAAGACACATCGGCCTTTCTACGGCTCTTCTCAGCTCCACATCTGAAACCACACTGTATAAACATTTTTCTCTTTTGTTTACATTTTAGTAGAAACCCCAGCTAGTTTTCTTTCTTTCTTCTAACAGTGGCTACTGCCATTCAGTCTATAACTTGGGGAATTTTTTTCCCCCGCACTTCTTAGTAAGAGAGAATCTTTTTTTATATCCCACCAACAAATTTAATATATCTGAGAGAAGAGCATATCAAAAGTTAAGTAAGAAGCTGGGAGAAAATAATTGCTACCCATCCCAATACAGGTAGCCAAGATCTTAAAGAAAGTATGAATACAGCTAGGGAGAAATTTGGTTTTTGAATCAAGGATCAGAATATCACACATGCCAGGATATTATTCTATTTATATTCTCACTTTTTTTCTCATCAAGTCCTATAATGAGGAAGATGCTGGCAAATAGCAAAAACTCATTAGGGAAAGTATTTTTCAAGTTTTTGACCTTTAGACAGTACACTTTAAACCCAATGTCTCA